TATTTATGTAGAAAAGCACTGGACAGCTGAGGGGATTTTACTGTCTATTACATTTCCTGTTCTTTTGTTTAATTAGTCATTTCTGAAAGGAACATTACTTAAAATAAGAGGAAAATTAAATAGATGAGCCCCAGGCAGCCCAGCGCCGCTGCAGGAGCTGAAATCCTGATGTGTTTCACGAGAAACAAGGCATTGGTTCAGGAATCAGCTTCAATCATCAACTGCATTTCAGCAAAGCAGTGGGCTCAGACTTGGTGTGAGTGCAGGAGCCTGTCCCTTGGGTACCTCCCAAAGCCCAGCCCTGCTTCTTCCTCCCAGCCAGGAGACAATTCCCTACCCATGCACCTTCCTCAGGCTCCAGCATGAAGAAGCTGTGCAGCCACAACCAACACTTTGCTCCACAGGCACCTTCAGTGAAGGGCCAGACCTCCAGAAGGTGCTGCTCACATCTCAGGCTCCCACTTCCTCCACTTGGTGGATGCAGGTTAAGCCAACAGAGGAAATTGTTCAACAGAGAGACTGGAAGCTCCTGAAGATGGGTGTGCCCAGAGAAGCTGTGGCTGCCCCATCCCTGGAAGTGTCCAAGGCCAGGTTGGATGGGGCTTGGAGCAACCTGGGATAGAGGAAGGTGTCCCTGCCCATGGCAGAGGTTGGACCAAGATGATCTTTAAGGTCCCTTCCAGCCCAAATCAGTCTGGGGTTCCATGATCTGCAACATGCTGAATGTGGAGATAAGCTGAGGATAACACCACCTCAAGTCATCAATAATCCGAGGTGTTCACCCCTGCCCAGTCCTCTCCTGGCCATCACCAGCCTGGAAAACCCTTTGCAGTCCTGGTGGCCTCCATCCCTCCTCCCACTCTGCTCAGCTCCCACGGCAGGGGATGAGGTCTCAGTGCTCCTGAATGTGTGGAGGTAATATAATAATAATAATAAGCACTGCAGAGGAGTGGATGGGGGTGTTATGTACCCAAGCAGCCTGCAATCTCGTTGTTCCCCCAGGCAGGATGAGTAGGGCAAAGGTTGCAATCGCTGGATATCACTCCAGTGCTGGCTGGCTGCACGTGCACTGCCATCTCTGACCACTTGTCCAGCACCTGGATCAAGATTTGTTTCATCAGTACCACAGAATTCTTGGTGGGGATGGCACCCAGGTGAGCAGTGAAGTCAGCTGTGATATATTTTAAACACCAGAGCCTTGTGATAACAATCTGCTCTGAAGAAGTACAAGCCAGGGGGCAGTTCATTCACAGACCTTTGAAAAAGGATCCATCTGGCTGGTGGAAAACTTGGCTCTTTCTGCAATTCAAGCGTTCACAGTATTTGGGGATGCTCTTAACTTCCCTCATAGACAGCCCCCATAAATTCACCATGGATGCTCATTTTTTCTGGAAAAATTTTCACGGAGCGTTCAGAGACAACATCCAAACCAGAAGTTCCTACATCCCAAGCCACTCTGCTTTTATTTTTTTTCAGTGACCTATTTGACAATAAACTTGGAGGAGTTTCCAGCCTCAGTGCCGGATTTCAGGTGACGCCACGGCAGATTTGTTAGAACTGAACATCTACTTCTGAAGAGTCACAAATAAAGGCACATTCCCAAGCAGGCTCTGCAATCCACACAGAGCTGAAGGCATCCTGCTGCTGCTGAAAAAGGCCAGTCTTGATGTCCCAGTGGCTCCTGTGCTGTTTTGAGCTGCCCAGGTGAGCACGGGTTATGGCAACTGCTCCGCTCTCTGTTTGTGATGGACTGGACACAGTTCTTTTGTCAAAGCAATTTTCATCTTTGCAAAGCTGCTTCTGTTTGTGAACCGTGCTCCTGTACAGCCCCTGCTCTGAGCAGTCATCAGCACCGCTTGGAAATGTTTGGATAGTTTGAAATAAATTTCATCAGAAAAACCACAGGTTTCTATAAAGGAGTACAATTGTCCTGTGTTTTCTAGCATGGAGGCTCCCAGAACAGCTTCTCCTTTCTCCAGAACAGGATTAATACATGTACTGTTGCTAAGTGTCCGATATTTATGTTCCATTAAATTCAAAACAGAATTTATTTCTATTCAGAGTCAATCCCCACAGCCTCAGAGTCACCCACGAGTTCTCCCTCCCTTTTTCTCGCAGCTCTTCTCCCCATTGCACGGCTGAGAACATCCTCCAGACTGCAGAACTACCCCACTTTCAATCCCATTTGGTAAGCCCCAGGGGCATCAGAAAGTTTAAAAGAACCTGTAAAATATCTGCCACAACCTCTATGATTGATAACAGCAGTCATATCCAGAAGCTGGGCAGGAGTGCTACCTGCCTGCACTTACTCTTTACAGTAGTTTGCATTCACATCACTTAAATTCAGAGTCAGGATGCACCTTTGCACAGACCTTTGCACGCTCTCATGTGCTTTCACTTTGGTCTCAGAGTTGGAAACCCCTTTCCTGCTACCACTCTTGGATCTTTTCCTCGCTGTGACATGGTGATGGTAATTTCTCTGCCCAGATACACCCGGGCAAGCCTATGAAACACTCCTCAGGTGCATTTTATTCCTCTTCCCACCCACTGAAATATCAAAGGGAGCCTCCTTATCTCATAGGGGTTTGATGTTCATTACAGCAACACACAAGCAGTAACAAAGAGCAATGCCCTGCAGCACTGGGGTGGTCAGGAGGCTCTGAGATCCCAAACTAGGGGTGACAAGGGACCTTTGCTACTGGCTGCTGTCCTGAGAGGGGGGCACAGGATGGCCCTGCTGGGCAGGATGCTCTGCAGCAATGCATAGGCCAGGAGATCTGGTACCTCCCTTCAATGCTCCCCTGGATTTGGGCCTTCCTCCCTTCCAAAGGAGCTGGGCTTTGAGGTGTTCAAAGCACCCTGGCATCTTCTGAGTCCAAAAGAATCCAGCTAGCAGAAAGCTGCAGGTAATGACTGAGCAGTGTTTCATGGGCATCACTGAAAAGGCCAAGGGACCCCCTCCCCTCTTCTTGCAGTGAGTGCCCATTTCCATGTTCTGTCTGTTCACACTCATCATATCCTCCACCACACAGACTGTAAAATAAACACCCCTCCTGCCCTGCTGTACTGTTATCATCCCTGCAGGCAGCTCACGCTGCCCTTCCCTTCAGAGTGACTCACTCCAGATGTGTCTGCATCTGCCTCCCCTCTGGCGTGGGGGTCCCACCCATCCCTCCATGGACACTCTAGTTCCAATGCATCCTGTGGGAATGATCCCACGCTGTGACTGCTGCAATGGCCTGCTGGGCAAGTCAGGATGGTCCCATCCCCACCCCACCACAGACATGGCTTGAAGCTGCTGCAGAAGCAGATGGGCGTGCTCTACAACTCCTCACCTGGACCAGGAGAGGCGTCCAGAGGACTTCCAGCTCATGTCAGGCATCATCCTGCCACCACAGCTACCCCAAAAGAGCTGCAAGGTGCCCTGAGCCTGCCTGCAGCACTGCCAGCCGTGGCACCAGGAGCATCTGAGCCAGGGATACTCCTTGGGCTGCAGATGTCCATGACAGCCAGGCACCCCAGGGTCTATGCCCACCCCTCTGGCTTTTGTTGAACACTCTGGTGTTTCTTCCTGGGGGGGAATAACACACAAGACACCCAAAAATACAATATTCCCATGGACCCACGTGGCTCTGGCCAGGCAGCCACAGCCCTCTAACCTCTCATTCCCCTTAGCCTCTCAATTAGCTCTTGCCTTCCTGACGACTTCACTCAACACCCAGAGCGATTAGAAGCCGGAGGAAGGCCTCGGCTTTGTCTCCAACGATGAGCCAGATTAATCAGCTCCAGTTGCACTGAATTACCCAGTCGGGGCTCACAGCAACAACCTCCAATTCACCGGCAGAGCAGCCAGCATCCCGCTTTCACCCGGGATAATCAGCGAGGACATGAAAGCCAGATGAATGACTAGGTGAGGGTGGGCTGCCGCCTGTCAGGAGCTGGAATATAAGTCAAAGCACTTTGAAATTAAATCCTGGCTTTGACAGGGAACTAATGCAGAGATTTTAAAGTAGGTGTAATACACTTAGACAGGCATGTGTGCAATCCGGTGCAATGCTGTGCTTTGAATGAGTGTGTCCCGGCTCCACAGAGAACAGGAAAATGGAGTTGAAAAGACAAAGGGAATTTTGAATAGCTCCAAACCAGCTTGGCAAGATTTTAGAGATGGTAGCACGGGGCTTTAGTAATGGACCTAACTAACAACATTGTCAGGAGGAGATTTGGTGCACAGCGGTTGGTTGCCTGGGATCTTCGATTTCACACCAAGCAGCCATCTCATGTTGCTCCTGGTTTAAAATTAAGACATTTGTGCCCATATGGATAGATGGAGGCACAGTGGATGGAGCAGAGATAGGGATCCCCACTGCACCTCTTGGCCTCAGGGTGGGTGAGCCATGCTACTGGGAGCTCCTGGGATTTCCCAGGAGTTAACCTTTCCAGACAGCCTCAGAGGCGAATTCAAGCCTTGATATCTGGTTCAGCATCACCCTCCACCTGCGCATCCCAGAGCCCATCAGCAGCCACTGCAGCTCTTGGGACAGCCCTGCTGAGATGCATAGGGGGTTTGAAACTTGTCCCTGCTCTGTCTTCAGATGCTGTTCCCCTGATAAAAACGCCAGATACCCCCCAGATAGAATTCCCGCAGATCGCCCTCCTTGGTTTCGAATTTTCCAATGCCAAAATCTGGCATTTACAGGGAATCTCTCAGAAACTGGGATCTGGGAAATCGCACACCCGGTCAAAGGGGTGGTTGTTTTGAGGGAAGGCAGCTCGGGCAATACCGAAGGCTGCTGCCAGCAATCGGCACATCTCAGAGTTCTGCCCCTTCGCGGCCGCCAGGAAACTACCCCTGGAGAGAACCTACCCCCTGCCCTCTGCGGGATTCCCCCGTCTCTCTCCCCCCCGCACCCCACCCGGAGGTGCCGCTGGGCGGGGGCGGCAGCAGGGCCATTCCCGGAGGATCCCCCACGTCGCCGCAGGAGCTCCCGATGTCCCCCCTGCGCTGCCCTCCCCGCCGCCGGCCCGCCCCGGGGGTGTCCCCGGCAGCGGGTCCCGCCCAGGGAGCGGCGGGGCCGGGGCGGCCCCCAGGGCTGCCCACGCCCCCGGCCCGCCCCCGGCCCCGCCGCTCCATCCCGGGACGGGCCGGCCGCGCTGACAGTCGCGCTCGGCGGCCGCCTCGGGCTCAGCAACCGGGCAGCGCCCGCCGCTCCTGCCCGCGCCCACCTGTGGCGGCGGCTGCCCCGGGCAGGGGGCGGCGGGGCGGGCCGGGCTGGGGTGGGCCGGGGGCGCTGCTGCCACCGCCACCGCCTCCGCCGGCTCCGCGCGGTCTCTTCCCCGCCTGCCCTCCAGGATGAGCCCGGAGTATTCCCTGCGCTCCTTGCTGCTCATCATCCTCGCCACCTTCTCGGCCAACGCCAGCAACTGGCTGTGAGTAGCCACGGGGCGAGGAGGGGAGGGGAGGGGCGGGAGGGACAGGCGGACGCGCCGCCACTTGTTGGTAGCCCCCTCCCTCCCCCGGGGGGCGCGGAGCAGGTGCGGCGGGGTCGGGGCGCATCGGGGCGCGACCCCCCCACCACCACCACCCCCGGCAGCGATGCTCCTCGGTCCCCCGCGGGCATCGGGCGCCCGTCCCCATCGCGCCGGTCCCTGCTGTCCCCGCCGACCCTTGGCGCGGTGGCGGTGGGGTAGCAGCCCTCATCCCCAGGCAGGTGGGCGGCGAGGGATGCCGACCCTCCCCAGCCGCCCGGTGACGGTGTGTTATCGCGGCTGGTGGGACAGGGGCTGGTTATCGAGCCCCGTCCCCCCTGTTTTTGTCCTTAAGTTACGAATCCTGACCACGCCAGGGGCGGGCGGAGGTCGGGGCATCGGGTCGGAGCGGGGCCCGGGGCTTGGCGAGGTGCCACGCGAGGGCCAGCGGTCCAGGGGAGGATTTGTCAGGGCTGGGGCGGCCGAGCGTGCCGGCCCCGGGGATCTGCAGCGAGCAGGGCTGCCCACGCCTCGGCCCGCCGCTCCCGGCGGGAGGACGGGTGCCGGAGGGCTGTTGCACACCGCAGAGGAGCCCGATGACATCGGGAACCCGCTGAACAAACACTGGAATAATGTGTAAGGTAAACAGGGGCGGAAATCGTTCTGGAAAATTCCTACGTGTTTGCCAAGGCGGTGGGACTGTTTTCTGGAGAGACCCCCCAACCCCCGCCCGAGGCAGAGGGGATGGAGCACGGCAGGACTTTCCCACCTAACTTTGAACGAAGGCGTCGGTTCCTCCTAATAAATCCGCTCTGGTGGGAGTTGGTGCTTCCCCTGCTCCCAGTGTTGCCGGGTGAGGGGAGCTAATTCCCGTGCCCGCACCCAGCAGACCCGCTCTCCTCCTGGGAGCACGGGCCGCCTCCATCTCCCCTCCGTGGGTTTCTGCCGGCGAAGGCAGGTACACCACGGCCGGGCACGAAGTCCCTGGGGCTGTCGGCACGAAAGATCCTGAGTGGCTCGTGCCTCTCCCAACACCTGTGCTCAAGGTGGCCACCATCCCACAAACGTACTCTCCGTGCAAGGAATCCTCTCTGCATCCCCGATACGGCCCCCGTGCCCCCCTGCCTTTGGATTCCGTCTGGCTGGGGGCTGTGGGACGCGGGTGGGTTTTGGAGGATGTTCCCTGTGCCTGGGGAAAGCGCCGGGTCAGTGGCATTCCCCGAGTGATCCTGCCTGTGGGAAAAGGTGCTCGCCCGGCGGTAGCTGCCTGGGATGCGTTAGTGCTTAGTCCTTCCTCCCCTCCTCCTTTGCCAGATGGAGCGACTTGCGCGCCACGCGTCTCCGGCAAGTGGTGGGTGGATCATAGCCCGCTATCAAGGTGGTCTTTTAAGCTGTCACGCTTCTGGTGAAGGTATATTGGGAACTGTGGGAGTGTTTTTCCTGCAGGAAGAAAGTCCCCCCCATGAGGAAGCCCTGGGGGGGGGGATGATGGCAGGTCTCTGGAGAGGAGCAGCCTCGGCTGCCCCGGGACGGGCGCGGGGGGAAAGGGGGATTTCATAAGCGAGGTTAACAAGCTGCCCCGCACGGACGCGCAGAGGTGGGAGTCCCCCCCACCCCGATCCCCGGCGCCGCACGCAGCTGGGATCGGATTTGGGAAGCGAGGCGAAGGAGAGGTTCGCCGCAATAGCCGGGGAGGGAGGGCTGTGTGCAGCCGTCCGTGCTGGCGGAGCGAGGGTGGGCGCGGGGGGCTTGGCGGCACAGAGCGGAGGGCTCATTCCTGCCAACAGGGGAGGAAAAGCAGATCCATTTCAGTGCGTTTGAAAGGAAGGGGGTCAGCTTTTTTTGATGTTGCAAATGTATCATGATAAAAGGATCTTCCCCCGCTCAGTGCTTTTTATTCTTTGCCTTTAGGATTAAGACAATTCCCATTGTTTATCTTCTCACATCAGAAACAAAGGCTGCCGGAGGCAATAAACAGAGTTAGAAGGATCCCAGGAGTTATCAGATATTCGAGGAATGAGTGTGCCTCGTATGTCTTGACGCATGTGGGCTCGGCATGCTCGGCGTTACCCCTGGGCGCTGCCAGCTTGCGCCCAGCACACGGGACGGATCCAGCCTCGCATGGCTCTGCACGGAGGTGTGTGCGCTGAGTGGCAGCGCTGTGAAGTTTGCTTTTCCAGAAACCTGCTGGATTAGTGATTAAGCTCAGTCGTGACTTTTTTTTTTCTTTCTTTTTTTTTTTTTTTTTCCCCTTCCCTCCCCCTAAAGCTTCTTTCGACCTGTCCAGACTCGCATTCTCCCAGCGCTTTGGAGAGATGCTGCCTGCAACGCTCGAGCTGAAGGGTTTCTGTAAGCCTGGCTTTGTGGGGAAAGGGCTCGTTTTGGCCACGCTGAGCTGCCCCATCCTGTACGAAAAGGAGACCGTGTAGGGATCTCTCAGTGGGATCAGTCATTGTGCTGGAAGGGATTTTGCCAAATCTTTTCATTATACAGACCAAGCTACTTTCTCCTTGGTTAGGAAGCAAACCTCAGGTGTGCTTTCTCAGTGTCTTGACTTTGGGGAGTTGCTGCTTGGCTTGTTGCCTATCTAGAAAAAGCTCTGTTCTCCAAATCTGAAGAGATGCTCTATTCCCCCTTTCCATGAAAGCCTTAGGCTTGTTCTTCCTGCTGCCTTTGAAGGCTCAGATAGTTTTAAATTTTTGCCTCCTGCCTCTTCAATCACAAGTTGTAAAATTAAATGAAGGGCCTTTTACATCTCACTGTGCACGGGAAGGTCCTTCTGCTTTATCTCTAGAGAAGTTTGCTTTATACAGGGGAAGCAGCTGAGTTACTTTCCAAAGCAACTTGCCTTTCACCAACTCAACCCAGCTCTTGAACCTGCAGGTGCAGTGATGTGATTGAATTTGGATGCAGGTCCTCTTGGTGCTCCAAACCCATCCTGAATGCTGGGGGTGTTTTGTAGAGAGTTTCAGCCAGTCAAGCCTCTCTCCACAGCTGGCATGAGAGTGCAGGGCTCTGTTTTCAGTGACAGAGGTTTAGTTAGTTGTTCATTTGTTTACCTATTTTGGAGGGAGGGAAGTCTCCACCTGAAGAGGTGAACTAGAAAATGTGCAAATGGGGTGTGGATGTAAGCATCCACTAACTGCATGAGGTACTGGGGCTGCCCTCTGTAGCTGTTTAGGGAGTTTGAATGATAAGAGTCCAATCCTGTGCCCCAGAAAACATCAGATAAAACAGGGAAAGGGTCCTTTAAGGGTGAGATCCCTAGTTATCAAACTATCTGGGAATAATTACAGCCTCCTGCAGCTAAAACTGGCTCTGGAGGAGGCTCTCCATATTGGACATGGATGGTCTGAGATGTGGTTATGCCACTGCAGAGCAGGGTGTGCCACCAGCAGCTCTGTCTACCCCCTATTTACAGGGGTTTAGAACTGCCATCTGAGCTTGGGACTTGGCTTAAAGGGCCAGGATCACAGATGGGCTTTTAAACCCTCAAAAAAAATTGATTTGAGCTCTCTGGGAAAGTTTGAAGTTGTGAGTGTCCAAACAAGGCTGGCTAAGCAGCTGCTGTCTAACCACTTTTAAGGGCTGGGGAGGAAGGCATAAAAGGAGTTTGGGTTTTCCTGGCCCCCTTTCATCTGAAGGTGCTTTGCAAGCACAGGGCCCAATTCTCCCTGCTCATCCCTGCCAGCTTCGCAGCGGGGATGTTGCAAGAGCAGCCCAAATGCTCATTTGTGCCTGGTTGGGCCATTGTGCAATGTAGAAGATTTGGGAGGAAGCAATGCCTGGGTCCTACATTTGCATCCTTCTGGTTTTAAACCAGACTCCAGTTGTTTAAGGTGATTTTGTACGAGATCCTTTGCGTTGTCGTTGCGACCCTCCCACCTCCCACCTGGCAAGGAACCGGTCCAGCATTTTCCTGTTGGATGCTGTGCAGGTTTGGCAGGTCCCTCCAGGGCTTCCCTCTCTGTGCTCCTGGTTTTTGCTGTGAGGACAGTGTCAGGAAGGCTCCCCACTCACATCTGTTCCTGCAGCTGGGATGGGGGGTCGCAGCATTTGGGTTTGATGGGGGATTTCCTTGCTTTGAAGGATTTGCTGTGGGTTAGGTGAGTGGTTCTCCACTTCTGGGGGGCCCAGGGCTCCTTTGCATTTCTCTGGGTTTCCTGTGAGGTCCATGAGGCCAATGCATGAACCCATGACACCCATTCCCAAGGCAGTGGGGTGGCAGAGTGAAAACATCAGCCTCCACTGGAAATATATTTTAAATTCTTATTTACTTGCAAGTCTAGCCACTCCTGACAAAGCCAGCTAATATTAGCTCAGCAACAAAAATGGACTGGCCATGAGTTGCACCCTGCAGAGGTGCAAGAAGCCTCTGCCAGTCCTGGCACTGGGCTTCCAACCAGTTTGGCTCCTCTCTGAGCACTGGTCCTGTCTGGCAAACACCGTTCAGGGCTGCATTTGCCAGAGTAGAGGAGAGCTCTGTGCTCTCTGGCTCCTCAGTGGAGATGGACATTTCTGTGCTTTCCTAAGGAAGCCTCAAATGAAACCTCAGTCTTTCACAGCAGAGCCTTATTCTAGGGAGGATGGACACGAGGGAGATCAAACCACTCTGCACCCCAGGTTGTGCACAACTGGATCAGCTCCAAATATGAGTGACAGGAAGGCAGGGGGTTTTTTTGCAGTGGTTTTCTATGGTTTTCAGAACTGGACTTCTGCACTGAAGCAAAAAAAAAAAAAGTTTATGTTACTCTGCTGAGAGCTACTGTCCTCCCAATTAATTCATCCTTGTGGATGGAGAGAAGTGCATTACAGCCACTTTCTTGAAATGATGAAATTGCTGAGCAATCCTGAGGTTAACAGTTTCCAGGAGGTTCTTCTGTGTTTCCTTATGAATGCAGTGACACTAGGCCTTACAATACTTGGTGATTTTTTTTTTTTCTTGAAGCCTTGTGCATCCA